TAAAAGGAATTAATAATGAGGCAGAAAGCATCGTGTTGATAAACTGTCCCATATCTTAATGGAGATTAGACTCCTGTTTGACCTGGCTTTGGAGCCCTTTCTTTAATCTCAGTGTATTTGATATTCTCTTCCTTGAATGAACTCCGTTTCACTGTGGCTTTGGTCACAAGATTAAAGAATCGCTAGCTAATTGTTCCAAATAAGCAAAGCAATTCCGTCTGATTCTGATCCCGGCTCCCAGCAGAGGCGTCCACCGCCTGGCCTTCCATCATAGACACTTCAAGCCTGACCTCTGCAGGTGGATAATTGAAATGCACACTGCCCAATCAGATCTGGGTATTTCTTTTTAAAAATCCCACCAAGTTCTGAAAACACAAACATTCATATGTGCAACGGGGAAACTGATATAATATGCTGGACTTCCCTTTTGTTTTGTAAGTGGCTTTTTGAAAGTAGCAACCTCTTGATTGAAAAGCATTTAAATTACATCTGCAACATACGCCGGGCTGGTCGTGGTTAGCCATTAATTCTTTTTGCCTGTTGAGAAAAATCCAAACGATTTGGATGAACTGTGATCCTCAAATCATGCAGGCTTAAAAGTGCCCTGATCAGCCCCACCTTTTTCTAATCAAACAAATTACTCTTTGTTCAGTGACCAAATCCCCCTCTTTCACCAACGCACAGCCCAGGTTGCCATAGCTACCTTGGATGTCTATTTACTACACGGGATCAAAGCCAGGAGACATAAACATACACACGTAGCCTTAAAACTTGCTGGAATGTCTGAGGATAACATGCAACTACCAATTAAAGGATTTGCTCGCGGCCTACGCGGTCCCTAGCCAGGCAAACTACGAGTACACGTCATAAGGAATGGCAAGGAAAAGCCAACTTGAAAACACGATTTCAACACGACCAATAAAGATCTTTAATCTGACAGTAAGTCACGACTATAACATTCCCTGCCAAGGAGAGACAGTAGGGAAGAAATGAAAATTCTAATGTGCGCTGAAGATACTGGACCTCCAAAGCACGTGCTTTATGATGACGTAGAGGGGTGGGATAGGGAGGGTGGGAGGGAGGCTCAAGAGGGAGGGGACATGGGGACATCCGTATGCATATGGCTGATTCGCTTTGTTGCACAGCAGAAACACTATTTTGTAAAGCAATTATACTCCAATAAAGATATAAAAAATAAAACCAAACCAAACCAGAAAAACTTAAATAAAACCCTACAATGTCCGGTGAAATGTCCGGTTAGTTTCAGTATCTTTCTAGTTGGTGTCATAAAAGCTGCCTCATCTCAGTGTTGGGACAAATGAGAACAGAAATGCCTTTTACACTTTTACACGCTTGACTTTCAAATGAAGGAAAACATAAAACATACTTGGAACACCATATGCTGGTTACAGAATAAGAAAGGGGAAGCTGTAAGAGAGTCCCCTTTTAATCCCTAGATTCACTGTTGATTCTGAGCCTGTGACAAGTAGCCTGTCTTTCTGGGTGGGTAGTATTCATCTCAGACTTGTACCTAATTTGCTGTGTATCCTATACTTCAACTTTCTCCGCCTTCACCTCACCAGTTGTTCAATGAGGATCAAAATGCCACCTCATTCTCTCCTGGGGATGTGGCAGAGAATAAATAGATCATGTTCCTAAAGGACTTTCTAATCCTCAAAGGAAAGATTAATACAAAGACATTCATTATTAAACCAGATGTCCTTGGGCATTTTAATTCCAATCTGAAGAATGCAAAACGGGCTAAATCAAACTGAGTCACAGCTTCCTCGTAAGAGCAACATCCTAGCCTTGTGAATTTAGCGGCTGCTTTAAAGCGCTGGCTCACCGCCTTCTCCTTTCCCTTCACGCTATAAGGCGACCGCAAGGATGTTTCAGTCCATCAGAAATAGAGTGAGTACCCTCTTCCCTTGGAGTGTTTTTTAAAATCATCAGGATATTAAAAGCACAAACTATATCTGGTAGGCAATTTTGTCTGAAGAACGTGATTCCCCCCCCCCACGGCGTGAGAAAGAATTATTTGTTCTTATTTGTAGGGACAATGGGTGGCGTGCTATTTCAGGATATTTGCAGTTGTGGGAATGCCACAGGCAAACCTGTTGTTTTTGGCTGGGCTGCTAGAACAGGTGGCCATGCCTTTCCTTTTGCCTGGGAACACAGCAAATTCCTTCTCAAGGAAGTTTCAGAAGTTTCCCTTTTATGATCAGAGGGCAGAGAAAGGTTGGCACACGCTTTAAAATTACTTCCTGATAAAGGCAAATAGGGTTCACCCTTTTCTTTTGGCCTAACTCAGCGTGACCTTAGGAACACTCAAATAATACTATCCCTCTGCACCATTCTTTTGCCGCCAACCTAGCAGAAGGCAAATCCCCTCTGAACCTCATCGCCAGTCAGGCAGCTTTCTAATTCTGCAGGCCACTTCTGGCTACCCGCTGTGGCTAGTCAGGGGCGGGGGTCTCTCGGCTGCCACGCCATTGTTCAGCATTTGTGCAGCCCTAGGGACGGATCACTCCTCAGCGAAGAGATTGGATTTCACTGCTGAGCTGATGACACATGGACCTGTTTGATAGTTAACCCTGCAAATCCAGCTGGGGCTGCCGGGCTGAGATGACAAATTGGCTGGTGGGTGCAATTCACCCCACCTGGATGCAAGTTTTCCCCCAAGAGAAACTCAAATCAACTTAGGTTTAATCCAAGTCAATAACTCCACCATCTCCTTCCCCTCCACATTCTTGTTCTGGCTGTTGCGGAACAACGTGTCAGATTCCTGAAACGCTGGACTGCCCAGATTCTTTGGATGGGCCATGACTCTTTCCCCCTCCTTTTTTGCCCGCCTCCCATCCCACCCCTAGCCCACCCTCTTTTCAAGGACTGCACAGGCCAAAAACTTATTGGACATACAGAGTTGTGGGATGAAAAGCTGCTGGGAGTTCCCTGGTAGCGCAGGGGTTAAGAATCCGCCTGCTAATCCAAGGAACACGGGTTCGAGCCCTGGTCCAGGAAGATCCCACAAGCCGCGGAGGAACTAAGCTCGTGCGCCACAACTACTGAGCCTGCGCTCTAGAGCCCGCGAGCCACAACTACTGAGCCCATGCGCCACAACTACTGAAGCCCGCGCACCTACAGCCCATGCTCCGCAACGAGAAGCCACCGCAGTGAGAAGCCCACGCACCGCAACGAAGAGTAGCCCCCGCTCGCTGCAACTAGAGAAAGCCCGCACACAGCAACGAAAACCCAACACAGCCAAAAATAAATAAGTAAATAAATTTATATTTAAAAAAAAAAAGAAAAGCTGCCCATTCATTAAATGACTAAGGAGTTATTCCATGTGTACCCTTAAAACTTCACTACCGGGCTGAATTCCAATTCACATGAATGCCAGAAGGAGCCAGGCATGAGAAAAATCATGCCAAGCTCGGGACAGCACGCCTCTGGCATCAGGCACAGGGAGTGCCTCCATTCCAGAGGAATCGTGTGGGAACAGAGATTCTGAAAAGTGAGCTCGGACACCACCGAGAGGACAGGTGGCTCCGCGCTGGATCAAATGACTTTCTTTGTTCCAGCCAAGGACCTTTGTCAAAAATGTTTTGCGTTCCTCTTTCTCCTTTTGCTAAATCCTTTCCATTTAGGCTTCTCGCTTCTTTTCCCCATCCCATCAGACTGCTCGTAAAAAGAATGGGGTCAGACCAATAAGTTTGCAGAACTTGAAACTGATCAGGGGCCCAGTCTCCAGCAAGGCAAGAGCAATTGACTGGAAACACACACACACACAGCACTTGCCGGAATACGCGTGCTTTTCTATGCTCACTGCCACTTGCCAAGCACACTTGCTTAGCGAGCAGGTGAGGGGGCCAGAGGCAGAGGGTCTTTTCAAAACCTGAGCGTACGGAGAGCTCTGCTTCACCTCCCCAGGCTGCAGGAAACGGACAGAAAGTTCTAACCCCCTCGCCCCAGCCCCTAAACGCAAAGTTTGCTTCCTATGCAAATCACTTTGCCCAAATCGCACAGGGCGGCCAGCACCCAACCCACTTAGAAGAAGGAAGTGCAGAGCTTGTCTGGTGGTAATATGGATGCTAACTTTTCCCACCCACATTTACTAAGAGCTGGCAAGGGCGGTATCGCTCCTCTTGGAATTCTCTGCCCTTGTCAGCCTACTAGCATGTTTTTCCAGCCTTTCAGCCCTTTATATGAGTACTGATCTTGATACTGAAATATTGACATAAGATTCTTCTAGAACTTTGGTTGAGTTATAAATCACACCCTTTTCTTGGCTTGGTACACTCACTTTTTTCTTTTCTTACTGGCAAAGCTATAAACCTCGGCCTGGGCTGATAAGGAATTTTATCACCATGCCCCGCAGCCACAGAAGAAGCTGCTGGTTTAGAAGCCTTTTCAAAGACTCATGGAAGTCATCCCCGAGCCGTTTCTCAGCTCACTACTTTCAGGGCTGTCTTCGCACGTCCAGAAGCAATAACAGTTTCAAAACTGCTAGAACATAAAAACAAATCTGCATTTTTCTGGAAGGACTGTCTGTGCTAATTTCGGGCTGGTTCCGCCTTCTCAGCCATAAACACAGTAAGTGCTCAGGATGGGAAGCCAAAATGAGATACGAGGCCCCGTGTAATTCTTTTTCAGGATATTCAGTTGTCTTTATTCTCACCCAAAGCATAGGAGAGAGGCTCAGAGCTCGAGATAGATCCTGAACAATAACTTCCAGCCGCTGCAAACTGGAATTGATTTACATATTCTAAGAACCGCTCTTAAGCCCTTTACAATGACTGCCTGACATCACCAATTCCCATGGAGAGAGGTGGGGGGAACCTCAGGAAATCTGCTTCTTGGGTTCCTTTAGGAAAATGCAGCCCCGTCTTTCCGCCAAATGGAAGGACTCGGCCAGGCATCTGCTCATCCGCAGTCACATCCCAGGGGTCCCAAGCGGCGCCCTCCCTCTCCACCCACCCGTGCAGCCCCCCGGAGCTCACCTGCCTCATGTTTAGACTTCCATCACCCATCCGGCAGGGAGCGAGCCGCCTCGAAGCCCACGCAGCGGTCTTCCAGGGGGAAACACCAAACCCAACAGAAGCCCGCAAGACAAAAGCAACTCAGCGAGATCCCCCGGCAGCTGGGAGCACGTTTTCTTCCTCTTTTTCTTTGATCTGTTGCTACACGCACTCTGCCCAAGACAACGTCAAGTTTCTCAAGCTTTGCTTCCTAGCCTATGAAAAGTCGGGCGCAGGGAAGCGAGGACCGCCTGGCTCTTATTTCAAATCGGGTCTCAGAGACGTCGTAGGTGGCTGGCTGGGGCCCCGGAGGAGTCTCGCCAATCAGGAGGAGGGGGTGGGCCCTGGGAGCCGGAGGGGCTGTCTCCGCGAGGATTCGAGAGCTTTCAGGATTTCAAGGACTGGAGGCAGCTGGAAACAGTCTCCGAGCTGAGCTCCCGAAGTAAAAGATGCGTTCTATTCTTATCTCACAGCTCTGGGTCTGCCCAAAGCTTAACTAGCTTAAGGCCTGGCCTTTTAAGAGCTCCCTAAAAGCACGCAAGCATTTGGAAGGGGCAGAATAATTTGAGCCAGAAAAGTGCACACTCAGGGATCAGACGGATTTTCAAAAGGGTATCTTGCCCCAAACACTGGGGAGGAAACCAAATTGTTACTCAGAACACCTGAATTGAAACCAGCACTCAGGGGAGGAGGGTGTCACCCACCTCACTTCCATACAGATGAACTGTATAGCCATCTAAGAAGCACAAATCTTAATGGGAACGTGCACACAAACCTGCTGAAACACGGCAAATGAACAAGTATCTCTAACTAGTGACGGCCCGAGGCACAATTTTAAATAAAACTGTTATTAGAAAAACAGGCACTGGTGTTTGGTTAAGAAGAAAAAAATTTTAAACAAGTGTGTCTACCTTTCACTAAGGTTCACCTTACCTACAAGGTTGATCTGGTGAACTTATTAAAAGGGACGAACCGGACATCCTCTCAGCTGGATGGGAGGAGAGCTAGCTGGCTTCTTAGCAAACTTAAACCCACACTTAAAAAGCATTTCCAGGGCTTCCCTGGCGGCGCAGTGGTTAAGAATCCGCCTGCCGATGCAGGGGACACGGGTTTGAGCCCTGGTCCGGGAAGGTCCCACATGCCGCGGAGCAACTAAGCCCCTGAGCCACGGCCATCCCAACTAGAGAAAACCCGCACGCAGCAACGAAGACCCAATCAAAAAAAAAAAAAAGAAAAAAAACATTTCCAAAGTTGGCTTTCTTAGTTTACTGTAAACAGTAACTCTTTTCAACTCTTAACCAATATGATCGCAGTGGGAACCTGCCTTTTGGGTGGCAAAAAGTGCAAGCCGAGCAAAGACTACTTTGTGTAGCACCAGTGATATAGTTTTTTCCCAAAGAAGTGGCCAAAATTTTGTGAGATTAATTCAAGAAAGAAAAAATTTTGGTATCAGAGAGGGGAAAAAAACCCAACTTAGCAAATAATGAATGGGCAGCTTCAGGTGTGTCAGCTGTATGGGTTCAATAGATGTCAGCTGTGCCCAGTGCTGTGAAAACTTGGCAGCCCAGTATCTGGACCTGGAGGTCTGCAGCCCCGTTCCAGCCGCAACCCCCCCCCCCCCACGCTACCTTAGCAAGTTAAGGGACCACCTAGTGACACAAGCTGACCTCAGTCCTCCTCTTGTATTTACTACAGAGCCCTTGATTATGACCTAGACCAGGGTTTCTCAACCTCAGCACTACTGACATTTGGGGTGAGATCATTCTCTGTGGTGGGCACTGTGCTGTGCACTGTGGGGTGTTTAGCAGCATCCCTGGCCTCAGCCCACCAGATGCCAGGAGCCCTTCCACAGTCATGACAATCCATAATGTCTCCAGACAACACCAAGGGCAAAATCATACCCAATTGAGAACCACTGATGTACCCGCCTTTGAAATACTGGTTCTCAAACTTAACTGTGCAAAGAAACCTCTGAGGACATTGTGAAAAATGCCAATCCCTGGGCCTCTTACTCCAAGGGAATCTGATCAGTAGGTCTGAGGAGGAGCCTGGGAATCTGCATTTTATCCCAGTGCCAAAGGACGCTGATTCACTTCAAGAAATACTGTACCTATTCCTGACCTAGGTATGCCCTCAGCCCCAGGACACAGGAAACTACCCAGGGCTGCTACCATTAAACATCACCGGAGTTAAATCCCAAGGCATATCTATTTATCACCTTCAACAGAAGCTTCTCACGACTGCATTTGCCTTCAGCTGTCATCACCTCCAAGGCAAATATGACCTGGGATTTCCTCCTGCAGTCTCTGGGCCCTGTCAAAGTTTCATCCATCTTTCTTCTCCTTTGGCCCGTTCCCACCCCATCCTACAAGGTCAAAATGTCACCACTCTTCTGTGGCTTCCCCAAACGCCCCAAGACAAAGTAATCCCTTCTCTCCTCTCTACAGTTTATAGACACTGAGTGATGTGCTGGTAAATGTTTCACAACCAGCTCTCAAAAAAAAAAAAAAAAAAAGCCAAGATTTGTTGCAGCCTTTGCCAATTTCCATAGTGTTAACAGTCCCTTGTTTCCCGCAGTAAGGACCCTAAACACAGAGGTGGGAAGAGCTGTGCTGAGCCAGGAGATGGTAAGCAACAGCTTGAGCAAACCGTGATACATCTCTGCTGTTTCACGTCTAAGTTGCACCGTAACCTTCTATTCTTCAATCTGTCTCTCTTAGCAAACTATAAAACTCTCGAGGGCAAGAATGGGATCCTATTCATCTTTGTAACCCAGCCACCTTCATCGTACCCACGCGCCCACAGCGCAGGAGGTAGTCAACAAACGTGTGCGGAAAGAGAACGAAATGCTTCCCTGAGAAAAGGGACACCAATGTGACTGCGGCCAATGCCATGTTATGGAAGGGAAAAGAATCTCTTGGGAAATTCAACTATTAAAGTTACACTTTTACCATAATTTAATATCTATTCTGTATTTATGACAACAATAAGCATAATGCCATCTTTATCCTAACACTCCCACATCCAAGGTCACAGTGCAAGAGAAGAGACCAGCCTCCTAAAACACAACCTTACCTTCATGGACGTATTTGTGACACAGTCTATTTTCTACGTTTTCATATGAAGGCATCACACACTTCTACATGTACATAATAGACATCTTATCAGCTACAGATGACAAGATCTCTAGGAGGAATACGTATATGATAATCTCCGGGAGGTGCATGAAAGGGCAGTTCCACTGGTAAGAGATACAGTGATGGATTGTTGGCTCTCTCTCCCATCTTCTCATTATGCATAAGGACAGGAACGCCTACGGTGGGGTTATTAACAAACACTACTTATGAGTATCTACTCATATCTACTACCTATGAGTATAAGCCAAGCATTTTGCCAGGCACTTTACAAATATGCACCATTTCATCTGCACCAAAATACCAAAACATAGACGTCACCACTATCAGGCTAAGCGTGAACACACAGGATCGTTGAGGCAAAGAACCCAAGGTCTGAGAGTTATCAATTGCTGTACTAGGAATTAAACTTATGTGTTTGGGATGAGAATTACTCTGCTTTTTGTTGTAAAATATGCTGTCTCCAGAAATGATTCCTAAAACTCTTAAGAAGGGGCTTCCCTGGTGGCGCAGTGGTTAAGAATCCGCCTGCCAACGCAGGGGACACGGGTTCGAGCCCTGGTCCGGGAAGATCCCACATGCCGCGGAGCAAGTAAGCCCGTGCGCCACAACTACTAAGCCTGCGGTCTAAAGCCCGTGAGCCACACTACTGAAGCCCGTGTGCCTAGAGCCCATGCTCCGCAAAAAGACAAGCCACCGCAATAAGAAGCCTGCGCACAGCAACCAAAGAGTAGCCCCCGCTCGCCGCAACTAGAGAAAGCCCATGCACAGCAACGAAGACCCAACACAGCCAAAAATAAATAATTAATTAATTTAAAAAAGAACTCTTAAGAAAAGGGAACAACGTAAATAAATGAAGTCTACTTTTTCATTTACAAATAACCATACTTTTTCAACATTTCTAATTCAATAAACGGCCCTTTAGGGGTTGTCCGTTAAGGGAGGATTAGATCCACTTACTGGAAACAGTGTAAGCAAGTAAACTGAAGCAAGTAAAGAAACGTGCTTCACCAAAGGTTCAGATGTTCTGTTCCCTGGGCTGTGATTAACAGCATTTGCAAATGGCAGCTGAAGGGATGTGGTAGTCTTGGCAAATCTTTCCTAAGACAGCAGCCGAGGTGATGATCCTGTGTAGTTACGTGCAGGTCTGGTTATAAACAGACCTCCACAGCAAACATAACATGGGTTCCTGGGCCAGTGGTCTTGGACAGGCCCTACTGGACATGGATGGACACTGGGATAACACCTGAGAGGACAATTAACAGTACCTGTGCTACCTCTTTCAGTGTTCTGTTAGGTCAAAGCATATGGGATTATGTGTACATAAAAAATGGTTGACTATTCCTATAGTTTACTGAGATATGTATCAGGACATATCATCAAAAGTCAATGAAAACCAAGCTGAAGGTGCCTACTCAGCCACCTGGAAAATGCCTGCTGCAAGGGCACAGTCTTGAGGGGCTATAAAAAGACATTTTATTCTCCCTCAGAAGTTCCAGAAATCCAGTTGCTTTATGCTTATGGCAGCCATGGAAAATCTGAGGTGATTAGTGTAGGTGATTTAAGTGGACAAGGACGTGAGTCCCTACTTAGGAAAAACAAAAAGAAAAGAAAGAAAATCCCACCTATAGTTCTTATAGGATGTCATAAAAAAGAAACAAGTTTCTACTCACTGAGTACAAGTACTCATTCAGTGAGTTTCGTTCAGTTGGTTAACCAAAGCAATGTGGCATACCACAAGCATGGGTTGCAAATACGATTTGGAGTCCATTTTTGATGTTAATGTGGCCACAAAACTGGCTGATAGATGTCATGTAAACCAAATGACATCTCTAAGCCCAAGGTTTTTCAGGGGACAGTTGGGCAAATTAGGGACTGAATATTTGCGTCCCTCCCCAAATTCATATGTTGAAATCCTAACCCCCAATATGATGGTATTAGAAGGTGGTATCTTTGGGAGGTGATCAGGTCATGAGGGTGGAGCCCCCATGCATGGGATTAGTGCCCTTGTAAAGGAGACCCCAGAGAGCTCTCTCGCCCCTTCTGCTACCTGAGGACACAGAAAGAGGACGGCCGTCTGCAGCAGGAAGTAGGCTTTCACCACACCCAGAATCTGTCAGAACCTTGATCTTGGAACCCCTGGC